ATCTAAAACTTTTAGTTTCAAGTCCTAAACAAGTCACATTGTGCTCTTCACCTTTTTAACAAAAGAGTTATAATATAAAGATGCTCTTTTTTTTGGTTTTACACTGTAAGGGTCTACTGAAAAGTATGAGTCGAGGACAGAACCAGAGTTATTAGGGTCCGAGCACAAATCGTGCGAAGACCCTATTGAATCTCTAGGAATTATTATTATTTTCTGCGCCTTCGACTGCATATTTGGCACATATGAAAGTGGCCCGAATCAGAAGTGAAAAGATCACATAACATGTCATGAAAAAAAAAATCAGATCTGAGTCAGATATGAGCAAAACAATCAGATTTGGGTCACTTTGGCCTGCAGTGTGACCAGCCAAGTTCCAGGTTTCAAGTGGATGAGGGGAATTAAGTCACTACTTGCTGGGAATGTATGGTGTTAATGTTAGCTGATTCAGGAAATGAATTGAATTGTGAATGTTTTTTTAAATTAACACACTATATTTATACTATATATATATATATATATATATACATATTATACATACTATTATATATCAAGGAAGGTATCAAGTATTTTCAAGTCAAATGTCTATCTGAAGTCACAAGTCATTGGGGTTAAAAAGTCCAAGTTTAGTTGCAAATCTTTTTATTTTTATTTTGTCAAGTTGAGTCTAAAGTCATAAAAGTTGTGACTCAACTTTTTTTCTGTGAGTTTTGTAACACATTTAGCAGAGTCAGTAATGGTATTAGAGAGAAGTGCTGTGACAGTTGGTGTTTTACATGAAGTTAGACGATAGTCAGAGGACATGACAGTAAAGGGAGATGGAGACAATATTATACAGTAGGCGATGTTATGCTGTTGGGTACAACTAAGGATGTTCCAGGAAGGCGACTTGCAAAAATACTCTGAAACAGCTGTCAGAGTTAAAAAATGTTCCTTACAACTAATGAACTGTATGATTTGCTGTGCGAAAATCATACAATTGACCTTACTCGTCAAACATATGTTTCACTCTTTACAATGAAATGACAAAGGCATGTTTGTCACTTAAAGCTTTTAGTTTTACTTTCAGCTTCAAATGGAAGGTAAACTAAACATTAACATATAATGTAACAACTTCAGTTCTTTACTGTGTCCAGACCACAGTCTATGAAGAGTTTACAACTATCAATGCTTTCTTAAGAAGTCCAATGGTCCAAGTTTAGAACTATTATTTCTACAGTACATTGTTGTATGGTGTCCATATAGATTACTGCACAATCAAGCAGCTCTGTCAACAGCAGCTCTGTCCTTGCTGCTGTTGATCTCAGGCACCAGCAGCTTATCCAACCTGTAAGCTGCCACAGACTATTCAGGACGAATGAATAGATTCACATGTGATTTAGAATAATACCGTTGTGATGCTGAATAATCCCTGTTGTAATAACAGAATCTCAATGTGCTCTTGTTCATGCAATTCAGAATGAAGCTGTTGTATTACCCTGGGTCTCGGTGCATTCATGTATTCATTTGGCTGCTCTCATTCTCAATACTGAGCAAATGTACTGTGTTTTTTGGGGGGCTTTTTCCCTTTATTAGATAGAACAGCAGAAGATAGACAGGAAAGTGGGTAGAGAGAGATTTTACTGTGTGTATGCACATGTCAATGTGAAGCTGATCCTACGGCTGTCTTTTATACCTTTAATTCAAAAGAAATTTGAGAAAATAAAAAATATAAAGACTGCACAGAGCACTGGTTTCTGCCAAAATGATTGTGTGGTACTGAATTAACAGTTTGGTAAAGGACCCAAATTGCACACACACCTCAGTGACAGACTTATAGCAAGGTTCCTGACACCAGCACTCAAGGTAAAGTAACAAGTGTTTTATTATTTTAAATGAGGCGTCTTTGAGTAAACAGCTAAATTAAGCAAATTTAAGTGTGATTGTTCAGATTTAGGTTTTAAAAAGGCTTTTGATAGTGCTGACTATGAAAAGGTTGACAAATATTGGACTCCAGTCCTTACTTTAAGCGGTCCTCATCTATGCTGGGATGAGTTTTGCCATACAGGGTTCAAAAGTAACCAGTCCAGCTAAGCTGCTTTAAGGTGTCCCAAGCTCAGAGTGAGACTGTGAGGCTTGAGGCTTTCAGGCTGGGTAATATCAAAGACTCTAAAAATAGGATCACTGACTGTCTTCTTGATATTCAAGAGGGGCAAGAACTATAAGGCAGTGGTTACGTGCGAGTCCTTGGAGGTGAAGAGCTCCAGGCGGTCCTCAGTCAAATGAAGATTAGCTTAATTTCACTCTAATTAAATTCACTTGAAATGATCCTGGGTAGAGAATGTCAAAGGAGGGCTATTGTAATCATTCGTCTCACTCTCACCGCTATTATCTCCCTTTGAACTGTACAGTGCAGACAGTTCTACAATACTAAATCACCAACTAACATCATCCCCATTTGGGTCCCTAATAATCACATCAAATAGGCTTGCATGGGGCCAAATGAGTGATACAGTATTTGGAGTCCATGAGATGACATAATTTTGGAACCTCAGCTGTAGGATTACAATTACTAGAAATGTCATCTGGGAAATATTAATTGACTACACCGAATAAGAACATTTAAGTTGAAAATGTGACATGTTGTCAAACTATCAAACATAACTGTCCTGATCTATGTGCAGCACATTCCCTAGCTACTGGGTTTCAGATTTAATTAAACAGGCAGAATTTATTTTTGGTCTACCTGCCCTAAGATTTACAGTAGTGCTCTTTACAATTGTGCTTAAAAATGGCTAAAACTCATAAATGGTGCACAAGAGTTTGTATGTGTAAATGTGGTGAAAATCTGGATGTAAGTATTGTCCAAAAATATGGAGAATCATTTCAGGCATGTCACCTTCAAGATGTAATACTGAGCAGCAGCTCGTTTCTTGTGTCTGATTAACTGAAGCAAAAATGTAAAACCTTTAATCAGGGCATTTAACACAACCTCACCATCTGTGCATTATTCTTTTGAAATATCTTAAAGGTCCATTGTGTAACATTTAGGAGGACCTATTGGTGTTATATTGGTGTTGTTATATTCATAGGTATGTTTTCATTAGTGTACAATCACACAAAAATAAGATTTGTTGTGTTTTCTTGGAAGGTGAGGGGTATGCAGTTGGTTGGAATCTGCAACCCCACCACTCGATGCCACTAAATCCTCCACACTGATCCTTTAAGATGAGGTGAAAATTGGAATAATAACCAAATGATGCATCTTATTTTCTCCTGGAATTATCTAGGATATCTGATTGGATTCAATCCTCACCATGCATCTTGATGCATCTAGACTATCAAGAAGCATTCCAGTTATGTGCAGTAACAAACAATTTCCCATTATAAATGCAGCTGCCAAAGCCAGATTAATTTACCTGCAGGATATGTGACTTGATGTCAAACTGAGGCCAAAGGTGTGGACGTTCAGTAAGTGTGACGCTGCTGCCTCATCAAGCCAACACCGGTGCAGTTCAACACCATACTCATATTGTATTAGTAGTTTTTTTTCTTTTTTAACTGATTCAGCACTAGTGCCCTCTACTTTTATAGGTGATATGTCTTTAAAAGTGCCTAAGTGCAATCTCAAAGGACATAAAGTATTCTTCTCAATGAGAACTCTTACACCCTTTAATTTCTACCCTTGCATAGATAAGTGCCATGTCTTAGCTAGTGCAAAAACGATTACACACTGGACCTTTAAGTGATGAAACTGTGAAACTGAACGAAAGAAAACAAACGTGTTTTTTGTATGCCAGTGCAGCTCAGTGTGAATATACTTGGAGCTTATTTTCTAAATAAATGGTGGTTGGTGTTAAATAGGTGAAGCGTCCCACCTTGCTGTTGCTGCGGACATCCAGCCGATGCCACCGCCTGTCTGCCACATTCACGTTGCCTGGCAACTGTAGCACCACTGTGCCAGAGCCGTGGTTGATTTTCAAGGTGGGGGTTCCATCTATTAGCTCTAGATGAAGAGAGAGAAGGAGAGAGAAAGAGAGGACTGGTGAGGGGTGAGATTACTTTGAAATCATTAGGTTTCAAGAAATAGTGAGAGCTGTAATCAATAGTTTTGGTTTGATGCTGTGGACAACCAGAATTTGGTGCTGGTATTGAAGTTGCTAAAACAACAGTAAAACAGACTGATGCATGCCATCGAAAATTATAGCACATACTGACAGTTGGTACATACTGTAACTTGCCAAATGTTTGCTAATATTGTCTGTATCTGTATATTAGCTTTAATGAGGATTATTGTACAGACCCTGTCGTGGTGTAGTTTTTTTTCTTCACATCTCATGGCAGTCAACAAACATCAGACAAAAGTTATTACATTTTATTTTCTGACTACTCATATGGGAAATTAAAAGTTAATGAAGTGGTTAAGACTGCTTGTGTGGTCGGCACCATATGTAAGGAATTATGGAAACACGTGTCTACCAACCGGCATTGGCAATCCATCATCATGCATGCTGAACTTCATAAAGTTCAACCAGACACATAATGCTGAACACTAAGCATCTTTGTGATTCTGCTTATACACTATGGTGGCTGCAGTGACTTCTTACTTCATGCTACAGCAGCTTGTATTTAGAGACTGAGACTCACAACTTTCTAAATGTCCATTTCTGGACTCTATTAAGGCCAATTATTGAATTATTTTTAGTCCTCTAATGGTTTCCACGGAGAACATTAAAATATGTTTCCCTGGGTCTATTTTCATGAAGTCAAAGGGATAAAACTGTAATTTATTTTTCTTGTTATTGACCATAAAAAGTCTGTCACAGTCAGAAGATGCAAAGACTAAGGCAATCTATCATTTTAGTGAACGGAAGTCTTTCCTAACACGACCATCCAACACGTTCTCGTTCCTGCCTTGTCAAATACTGCACTTTGGTCAGTGGCCCTCTGCCTCAAAGAATGACACTGTATGTGACAGTGGTGGATGAAGTACCTGAAAGTGACACTTGAGTGAAAGTACATATATAGATATATGTACTTTATATGTACCATCATAAAATGACTGGTAAAAGTCACCTACTACAATATTACTTAAACAAAAGTCCTAAAAGTATCTGATACTAAATGTTCTGCTGTAATGTAAAAAAAAAATGTAAAAGCTTAAGTAATGCTGTTAAAAAGCAAGGGGTCAGAATTCTGAGAATTATGACGTTTACTCTAAGCATGTATACCACCTTAAAAATGGAGCCTATAGTACAATTGAAGAAAAAAAAAAAACTGGTGTTAAAAAAACGTTAACCAGTTTATTGTTAATGGAAGTCCATGGTATTAGTGCCTCAGATTGTTTGAGACTGCCAACCAATACCATCTGTAGTGGAAATCGAAACTTGACCGTGGCGTTGGGAGCACTTTCTTGCACTCGTGTGATAAACCAATGATCTAACCTGCTTAAAAACTAGGATCACACTGATTCGTCAAACCTGCTTGCAGTCTACGTTCGGCTGACAAATCTCTTCCTGTTTTATTTTGTAGTAATGAATGAAGATGGCTATGGGAAACATTTCAAGAGTAAAAGTATACATTGACAGAAATATATAAACTAGTAAAGTACGGACACAAAAAATACTTAAGTACTGTAACAAAGTATTATTACTTAAGTTAGAAATAAGAAATATGCAACATTCGTTTAGAGAGTCAAAAGTAACCTTGCATGGTTAACGTTGCGAATCGGTCACACTTTGGTTAAGTTTAGGCACAAAAACTACTTGTTTATGCTTTAGGAAAATATCATTAGGTACCTTACATACTTTACATAATTTAAGTACTTAACATAAATTAATCTATGCACGTTACTTTTTTTTTTTTTTTAAGTATATTTTTTTCGGCTTTTATGCCATATTTGATAGGACAGCTGGAGACAGACAGACAGGCAGAGAGAGGGGATGACACGCAGCAAAGGGCCGCAGGTCGGATTCGAACTCTGCAGCAAGGACTCAGCCTT